GTTTTTTACTCTATTGATGAGTATTTGAGTTATAACTTTCAGTAAATTATTCTGTTAAAATTAGAATGAGATTTTAAGTGAACATTTGTTTCTTTTAAATTATATTTCATTTAATATAGTATGTATTATTATCTATTAATTTAAGTTAGGTACCAATAATATCCACAATTGTACAATTGTGTTGTATAAATATAAATATAAATATATAAATATAAATATAAATTTTCCTAAATTGTTTCCTATTACAATTTCTGTAATACTGACGATTATTTTTATTGGTGTAGTATTAGCATATTGCTATCTTAATTCCTAAGTTAAATGTCATCGAAGTCACTACTGCTGGATATTGAGCTGTCCAACGTTTTTAATTTTTAATTAACTGCCTAATATGCCGCTTCAGATATTGGGTGAGGAAATAATATATGACAATTTTTTTAGTCAGTGCATTATTACCACATTGTTGCCTATATTACCCATTTTACTTCTGCTTGACATCAATCTGACCAACGCGGATATAGAACCTGGGAGCCCATAGATTTAACTACTGCTGAAAATTAATATCATTTGAATTTTTGTTGAAACATATTCTTCAAATGTCTATTTTTTAAAAAAAAAACAGTAAATAATGATAACTAGTTATCATGTACGTTTCGACACTGCATGTGTGTCATCACTCAGAATATTTTACAAAGTTCATAAACTTTGAAAGTTACTAACATCTGGATCAACATATAATGATAACATTATATTGTTAAAATCACATCGTTAGAAAATTGCAAATGAAAAATGAATGCAGTTATAGGAAAAAGTAAAAAACGATACTAATTTTTGCAAACTTTGACGAATTTTCAAAGTTAAACCGATTGTCGTAGGGCCGTAATATTTTAGTATGATCTAGAAGACTATGGTATCTACCGTCAAAAAAATAATCATAAAAATCGTCGTTTTTTTTTAAACTTTATTACAAGAAAACGGCCCGGCCGATCTCTACCAAAAACTAATCAGCACGATTCCCAAATAATATCTTTCGAACAGTTTTTGAATTTTCAAAATCGATTCAGAATTGCGGGCTAAAATATAGACAAAAATTTTTCACTTTTCTGCGATTTACAAAGAAACGGCCCGGCCGATTGTCGCACAAAACTCAAAAACACTAGTCCTCATGGAGATATATCGAATGGCTTTTAAATTTTTGAAATCGGTCGAGCCGTTTTGGAGAAAACGTCGATTTACGACAAAAAATCTGTTCACACACACACACATACTTTTTCCAAATTTGGTCTCAATCGATTCAGAATGATTTGAAACGTCGAGAAAACATAAAATTAGCGAATCGGATTTTTTTATGAAAACATAATAATTTCTCCTTCGGGAATAAGACAATATTATGATAAATTTTTATATTAAATATATTAATTTCCCGTAGGGCAAGTTATAGTAATCGCAAAAAACCGAAAACGAAAATTTTTATATATCTTTACGTTTCAGAGGTTTCTGAATATTTTACTGGCATACCTTAGAAAAAATGGGTGTATGTGTGTGTTTTGTATGCCCGCGTTTTTTCATCCACGTTTTTGGGCGCACGGATCAACCGATTTGAATGGTTTAAAAAACATTCGATTCCTATTAATAGGGAGATGTGCTGATTAGTTTTTGGCAAAGGCAGGTTCAGCCATTACGGAGATACGGAGCAAAGAGTGCAGAAAATAGAAATCGAGTTTTTGAGAGAACGGAGTATCCGATTTGAATGATCTAAAAAAATTCAATTAGTAATGTTTGGGAAAAGTGGTTATTAGTTTTTGGCAAAGGTAGGCCCAGCGGTTTTGGAGATACAGAGCTAAATGTTAAAAATGGCAGTTTTTGAGAGAACTAAGCGTCCGATTTAAATGATTCAAAGAACTTTCTGCTTGTTTCAACAAAATAATTGCTTTTGCCAAAAAAATATTTTGTTTCTAATTTTAAGGCTAGATGCCATGCGCCCCACTAGTTAAATATTTTGATAAAATAAATTGTAAAATAAATAAAATCTTGAAAAAACATTGAATTGTATAATAAATATACACGTACTCTTAAATAATCTATACGAAATAAAACATTAATAGTACAATTTAGAGCATCCTGGGGATTCTGGTGTAAACTTTTAAATGTCATTTAAATAAAATGTCAATTTTTGAAAATTGCAAAATAGTGTCAATTATGGTGTCACAATTGACACCATGTTGCAATTTTAAAAGACTGACATTGCATCATCCGTCGTGACGTAAAAATGTCAAAAGTAACTTTAATTTACACCAAAAAGTTGAGTATATGTATAAACAACCCCACATTGCATTAATATACACAATTAACATTAAATATTTGCAAATTTAGCCGACATTACCTTTATTAGCACGTTGCGCGAACAAATCCAACGCCGACGCCTCGTGTACACAATCTAGTCAATAACATTAACAGACACCACTTTTGACTTATAATTTTTTTACCACTTAATCCTAACATTAACTAATTAATTAATGAACACTAATCAAGTCCGTTTTTATCGTAATTATCGTAAATTAGTTAATAGAAAATTCGACTAGGCGACCTAGCTCCTACGGCATGTCGATGCACACTGAAGGAGGAAAAGCATGAGCTCGGCGCTCGGCCCGGCGAGAACGCGATTCGATATATCGATTTTGTAAAGGAAAATTATATTTTGTTCGTTAATTTGCAATGAATTGCAATTATAATGCATTTGCAATAGTGGTGAGCAAATGTATTTGCTAAATTTGTTATTAGTTTTGATAAATTTGGCGTTGTTTTTGTCATTTTTTCGCTGTTATTGGGTGTAGCCATGTGAGGCCGGCGCATGCGGGGACGTCTTACCAGACGAGAACTAGGCAAAAAAAAATTACTTTATTTAATTAATTATTTATTTATATAATATTAATTTTTGTGTTAATTTATTAACTTCCCGTAGGGTAAGTTATTGTAATGGGCCGAAAATCGAAATTGAAAATTTTTACATTTCTCGACGTTTTGAAGGTTTCTGAACATTTTGGCATACCTCAGAAAAAATGGATGTGTGTGTGTGTGTGTGTGTGTATGTGTGTGTGTGTGTATGTATGTGTGGATACAAATTTCCAGTCACGTTTTAGGGCGCACGGATCAACCGATTTGAATGGTTCAAAAAACATTCGATTCCTATTGATAGGGAAAAGAGCTGATTAGTTTTTGGCAAAGGCAGGTCCAGCCGTTTCAGAGATACGGAGCAAAGAGTGCGGAAAATAGAAATAGAATTTTTGAGAGAACGGAGTATCCGATTTGAATGATCTAAAAAACATTCAATTAGTAATGATTGGGAGAAGTGATTATTAGTTTTTGGCAAAGGCAGGCCCAGCCATTTCGAAGATACGGAGCTAAATATGTAAAAAATGGCAGTTTTTGAGAGAACTAAGCGTCCGATTTGAATGATTCAAAAAACTTTCTGCTTGTCTTAACAAAATAATTGATTTTGGAAAAAAAAATTTTTGTTCCATTTTTTTTTTTTTTTTTTTTTTAGTTTTTTGTTGAAACAAATAATTTCAACTTTGCAATTCAGTTTATATAATTCTTATAAATATTAGACAATGTTACAATATTTATAATAATCTATTTGAAAACATTCAGTATTCCTCGAACATTTCGTTACGGTACGGGAAGTTCCAGCAATTTGCCTTAAGGCACGATGCCACCCACTCCACTAGTTTACGTCAAATTTTGACACCCAGTGTTACCATATTTGTTCATTAATAATATAAAATTTGATCGTGGGTAACAAACCCACGTGAAACGTGAATATTTTAATTTTAATTAAATTAGTTAATTGTGTGAATCATATTAATCTTGATTTTGCACGATGTTTACTTTATATGTATTATTTTATTTAGTAATTTACTATGAATTTGTAATTGTTTTAATTAAATAATAATTTGTGACAGTTAGTGTTGCCATATTTGTTTTTTAATAATATAAAATTTAAAAATGGCCGACATTGCAAAAGTGAATTTTTTAAACATGAATATTTTATAAATTAATTGTATAAATCATATTAATCTTGATTTTGCACAAAGTTTACTTTATATATTATATTTTATTAAGTAATTTACTATGAACTTGTAATTGTTTTAATTAAATAATAATTTGTGACAATTAGTGTTGTCATATTTGTTTATTAATAATATAAAATTTAAAAATTTTTGAAACTTAATAAGAAAGTTAAATAATAAATATTTATATTATCTGCAAGATATTTTTTATATTCTTAATATTTTATTAAAAAAAACAATCTTTGCATTGTATCAGCAATAAGAATTAATTCTTAACTTAAGTTATAGAAATCGCAAAAAAATCGAGAATGAAAATTTTTGCATTTCTCGACGTTTCAAAGGTTTTTGAATATTTTGGCATACCGTAGAAAAAATGAATGTATGTGTGTTCGTGTGTGTGTGTGCGGATACAAATTTTCGTCGACAATTTCGGGAACACGGATCAACCGATTTGAATAATTCAAAAAACATTCCATTCGTATTGATAAGGAGATGTGCTGATTAGTTTTTGGCGAAGGCAGGTCTAGCCGTTCCGAAGATACGGGGCAAAAAGTGCAAAAACGGTAAAGTAAATTTTTTTCAAAAATGTTAATGGTTTTTAAAAAAATAATAATTTTTGGTACGGGAAGTTCCAGCAATTTGCCTTAAGGCACGATGCCATGCGCCCTACTGATTATTTATTTATTTATAAATCATTTTTAAAACTGAGCATAAATTAGTTTAAAACTTTGATAAAATAAATAAATGAAAGCCATATCTTATATTTTTAAAATTTGGGTAAAAAACAACCCAAAGTTCAACAAGTGTCACCACTTATTATAACAGTAATTAAAAATGTACTAATGTAATCATTTATAACAAATGTTAAAAAACTAAAATAGTTATAAAACGTTAATTTATTCACTTAATATCACTCATAATTCAAATGTCTTTTCGTAAAATTTAATTAAAACAACTACTATTTATAATGTAAAATCAAAAGGTTTGTACTTGTCTCTAAAGGCAAGGGCATGTGCTATTTCTTCATCTTTTGGTAGAATGCATTCTCGCCAGTCTATTCTTTCTTCCATGTTTAAAACGGGGCCACTTGCTAATACATCCCTGAAAAATAGATAGAAAATAGATAAATGATCTATCTAAGATGGGACATTCTTTTTCAGTCAGCTTAACAGAAACTTGATAAAATTTACAACATTTCACCAAAAACAGTTCAATATAGTTCTATATAAAAATTTTGAAAAAATCAAAATCAAAGTTGCCAATCATTAAATATTTTGCTTTGCAGTGTAATATACAGGACATTTTTTCACATTACTTTAAATAACTTGAAAACTTGTTTTGGGACACTCTTTTTCAGTCAGCTTAGCAGAAACTAGATAAATTTTACTACATTTTACCAAAAACAAATCAATATAGTTCCATATGAAAAAATTTGAAAAAATGTAAATTAAAGTCCCCAATTAATAAATATTGTATGAGAATAGTACACTGCAAAGCTTAGATAGATCTATCTACGATCTATCATAGGGACACTTATTTCATTAAACTGTCATGATAAGTGTAATAGCTATTTTATTTAATTACCTTCCAAAGTGCAAAGGAAAATTTTTTTTCGCTCTGGTAAAAAGCTGGACTCCATTTGGTAGTTCTGCACAAAAATATGGAACCCCACTCGGTGCCAATTGTGATAATTCACTGAATTTGGGTAAAACTTCTAGTTGTATGTCATGGCCTTGTGCTTCATCCTAAAAAAAAAATAATGTTAAAAAAAATTCCTTTTTTAAACATAAAAATAATTACCTCAAACATTTCCTTCAATTCGACTTGTGCCTTTTCTGGTATACCAACGACTTGTATTTGCATGTGTGATGTTTTGTAATTTCTTTCATAAAAAAACTACTGCTCGATTGTCTTCTGCAAAATATTTTCTTAATGAATCCTAAAAAATCACAAAATTATATATAATAAATCTGTATTGTGTATGTTTTTTCTGCAGTTATTGGTTTTGTATCTGGCATAATGCAGTTCAAATTAGTTATATTCAAAAAAAAATTGTACCTGAGCATATTAGATGATTGATGGGGATTTGTATTAAATTTTATCTAGTTTCTGATAAGTTAAATAAAAAGAGTGTCCCAAAAGGAATTTTCAAGTTATATCAATTTTAATGTGAAAAAATGTCCTGAATAGTATACTGCAAAGAAAAATATTTATTGATTGGCGACTTCAATTTAGATTTTTTCAAAATTTTCATATAAAACTATATTGAACTGTTTTTGGTAAAATGTTGTAAATTTTATCTAGTTTCTGATAAGCTAGATAAAAAAGAGTGTCCCAAAACAAGTTTTCAAGTTATTTAAAGAAATGTGAAAAAATATCCTTAACAATACACTGCAAAGCAAAATATTTATTGATTGGCAACTTTAATTTAGATTTTTTCAAAATTTTCATATAGAACTATATTGAACTGTTTTTGGTAAAATGTTGTAAATTTTATGTAGTTTCTGCTAACCTGACTGAAAAACAGTGTCTCAAAACAAGTTTTCAAGTTATTAAAAGAAAAATGTGAAAAAATGTCCCTAATAGTACACTGCAAAGCAAAATATTTATTGATTGGCGACCTTAATTTAGATTTTTTCAAAATTTTCATATAGAACTATATTAATCTGTTTTTGGTAAAATGTTGTAAATTTTATCTAGTTTCTGCTAAGCTGACTGAAAAAGGTTGTCCCAAAACAAGTTATTAAGTTATTTAAATAAATGTGAAAAATGTCCCAAATAGTACACTGCACAGCACAGCATATTAATATATATAATAACATATATTAATTTATTTGCGGCTTTAAACTCAATTTTTTCAAAATTTTCATATAGAACTATATTAAACTGTTTTGACTGAAATATATAAGGTTGTCAAATATCTCCCTTCCGCCTTTTTGTATTATAAACCAAGAGCAAAAAAGCGGAAGGGAGATATTTGACAACCTAATAGTAAGTTTTATCTAGTACCCGAAAAGGAACTTTCTATTGATTTTAAGAAATGTGAAAAAATGTCCCTAATATTTCATTTATAAGAATTTTTTATTACCTTGAACTTTTCAATTTCATCAATGACTTCTTTAGATAATTCAGAAGTACTTTGAAAATGTGTTATCGTAGTAATTAGTAAGTGATCAGGCACTAAACCACCTTTAGCTAAAGCCAGGTACACATGCTCCCCAATACTTATCACTAAGTGCTTCTCTGCCTGCGGGGAAGCCAAGCAGAACCAACATTTTTCTAAAAAAATAAAAGAAACATAATAAAGAAATTTGTTCTATATAATTTTCAATGAGCTTATGAATTTAAGTCACTTTAATGTCTTTTATGATAGTGGCTTTTAATGGCTTTTATAATAGTGATGTATAGCATAATAGTAATGTAATTATTAATTTAAAAAAATAATATTTCACCTTGGTCAAACACTGGTCTCTGTTTCCGTTCAGAGCCACCATTGCTGTGTTGTTTACGTTTTCTTCGATTATCATCATATTTAGCATTCATGTCGTAGAAGAACTGAGGATTTTGTTCCTGAAGTAAAAAATACAGAATTGATACAGATTTAATATTAAACTAATAATTAATTATATAGATAGAATAATTAACTGTATAGATAAATATTTAGCATCATTTTGTATATAATTTTATCCAATTTTTAGCTTTCTAAGACCACATTCATCTATATTTATCTGTTTGAAAAATAAATAATAAAAACTAAAAAAAAAATGTACTCTATCTCTCATTATATTATTAATATTATTATTATTAACTAGGTATATAAAAAAAATGTTACCTTTCACCATTTACCTTTTTTTCATTGAATAAGTTCAAAATCTCAGGTCCGTAAGGACATTCAGTTTCATCCGTAGTCTTTTGACACAAATCCATCATTCTCATTGACGAAATTGGTTTTAAATTTACAGCGTACAACCATTTCTGTTTTTCTGAGTTTCCAAAACGTGCCAAAGCTAAAAATCTTGTCGCTATTGATATTGTTCCATCTGAACTGGAATTCCTTAAACAATATAACAGATACATTAATAAATGATAATATTATTAATAATAATAATAGTAATAATAATATCAATAATATAAGACACTTAAATTTGTTAAAATATCATAAAATAACCTAAAATTTGTTAAATAAAATAATTATATTGTAAAAGTATTGTAAAGCTTATTAAAATACTTATTAAATTTTTAAAAAATACGTGCAACAAACAAACTAGTTATATTTAAAAATAATTAAAATTATCTAAATATAAATAAGTTTATAGTAAATAAATTAAATAAGTAATAAAATAGCTAATAATTAAATTATATTAAACTTATAAAATATTTATATTTATATTTATACTTTATTTATATTTATACTTATACTTATTTTATTTATATATTATTTATATATTTTATTTATATATTATTTTATTATTTATATTTATATTTATACTTATATTTATATTTTTATTTATATTTATACTTATATTTATATTTATATTTATATTTATATTTATATTTATATTTATACTTATACTTATATTTATATTTATATTTATACTCATATTTATATTTATATTTATACTCATATTTATATTTATATTTATATTTATTTTTATATTTATTTTTTATTTATATTTATATTTATTTTTATATTTTTATTTTTATTTTTGTTTTTATTTATATTTATATTTAAATTTAAATTTATACTTATAAATATTCTTATATTTATATTTATACTTATATTTATATTTATACTTATATTTTCATTTATACTTATATTTATATTTATATTTATATTTATATTTATACTTATACTTATATTTATATTTATATTTATACTCATATTTATATTTATATTTATATTTATATTTATATTTATATATTTATATTTATATTTATATTTATATTTATACTCATATTTATATTTATATATTTATATTTATATTTATATATTTATATTTATATATTTATATTTATATTTATATTTATATTTATATTTATATTTATATTTATATATTTATATTTATATTTATATTTATATTTATATTTATATTTATATTTATATTTATATTTATTTTTATATTTATATTTATATTTATATTTATATATTTATATTTATATTTATATTTATACTCATATTTATATTTATATTTATATTTATAATTATATTTATACTTATATTTATTTTTATATTTATATTTATTTTTATATTTATATTTATATTTATATTTATATTTATATTTATATTTATATTTATACTTATACTTATATTTATATTTATATTATATTTATACTTATATTCATATATATATTTATATTTATACTTATATTTATACTTATACTTATATTTATACTTATATTTATATTTATATTTATTTTTATATTTAGATTTATATTTATTTTTATATTTATATTTATACTTATATTTATATTTATACTTAAATTTATATTTATACTTATATTTATATTTATATTTTTATTTATTATTATATTTATATTTATTATTATATTTATATTTATTATTATATTTATATTTATTATTATATTTATATTTATATTGACTTGAGCCTTATTATAATATTAGACTGACGGCTTGTAAAATAAATAAATAAAATAAATAAATGGTAAAGTGTTAATATATTTTATAAATTTTTATTACCTATATGGAGCCCGTTCATAAAATTTTCCATTAAGTCCTACTAGATGATATCTTGGTTTAATTTGAGAAGAAAGCCATGATATTAATGGAGATGTGTTCTCTTCTAATATATTCTGAAACACCACAAGATTATTTAATCAATTTATTACAATTACATTTAGTTACATTGCTTACTTGTTTGGTATCAAAATTGCTGATTCCTTTAGGCCATTGAGACGTTAACAAAATATCAATTCCTCTGTAATCACCGCTTTGACCTTGAAGACAAGCATCTCGTACATCGAGAGCATCTTGTTTACAAAATTTATAAGTAGGTGATTGTTCTTCTTTATCGTTTTGTTCAACGCCGCTTAAATAAGCAACTTTCAAGCCTCCCATAATTGTATACACTCCACGCTTACCTAAAGTAAAAGACATAAGCAAATTCAACAATAACATTTGAGTGCTTTGGATTAACCTAATTTTATTTTTCTACCTAAATAAGTAACATTTTCACACAGCTCCCCATTATCATCATTTGAATATTCATTAACAGCATCTTGATTGTTTGGACCGAGAACATAAGTAGGAACAGCAACTAAAATAATAATACATTTTTCACAGTGCTCTGAAACAATAAATATATACATATTTACAATTATCTTTAGTACCTCTCCTAATACCCGATTGAAATCCCTTCCATTCAATGTTATTGACTCCAAAAAAATTTCCTACGCACAGCAGGATATCGAAGGGGCCACACTTTTTATGAGTTTGTTCTATTTTGGAAAAGAAACCGTTGAATCGACCCTCTACATCTCCGCAGATCAACCTGAAATAGATAGATAGATAGATACTTTATTCAAATTCAATGTTTACAATTTAAGTCAATACAATTATTACTTTTATCACAATACAAAGTATCATGATAAATATCCATTATTTATGTAATTTAAGATAATACTTACACTTTGAAAGTTTTATCAGACATATTTGTAAATCCAGTGAAAAGTACTTGTACAAGTTGTGCTAATGCACCAATGTAATATATGGTTTTAATTTTATGATTTATCCTTCATTAAGTCATATTATATTTTAAATTGTTTAAAGCAAATGTAAACAAGAGCTTCATAACCTCAAAGTATTGAATGAAAAACTTATGTTAAATAAATCAAATGTGGAACTTTGTATCATTACGAAAGTTTCGTATCACTTTTAATCATTTTTATATACTATATAAATATATATTATTGCAAAATCTTATAAATTGACAGGTTATTGTACAAAATTTTGTTAAATGAAAAATGACGTCTAAATATAGTGCTGAGAAAGTCGTCTGAAGTTTGCTGTTCATCACTAGTAAGTTTAGGCGCCAAATTTAAATATAAAATTTAAATTTTCTGTAATTTCATATTCATACAAGGTATCAGGTCTAATACGTAAATTCTAAAGATAATTTAATATATATTTTATTATTTTTGCAAATATTTGTTTAGAAAGTGGTTATAAACTACTCAAAGTTTTTTGTCATATTGTGTTATCAAATTACCGACATTTTCTTTTTCAAAATGTCCGCTGTAAATCAAAACTTCAAACATGTTTCATGATCGCTCTTGAAATAATTGGCAATTTAATTGTGTTTAAAGAATAATTTCTAGTTTAAATCAGTACGGTTGTGTTGTGTGTGAAATTAAGTGTTTTTAAACAATAGTCGGTTATTAAATACGGTGTAAAGAACGTATTTGACTTGTCCTTGGTACGTATTATGTTTCAGTACTTTATCATATTGTAAATGGAATTTGAATACATTTGTAATAATACAGTGGATTTTCAAATCTCTATATCAATTTTATTGTAAATAATCCTTTCTTATGTGATTATATATTTGAACATTTTTCTTTTGTAGATTATAAACAATACAAAATGGAGGCAGTTGAACAGCTTTAATAAAATTTCCATAAAAGGTATTATAAGAGTCTAAGTCATTAAATACGTATACTTACAATAAATACATAAATGTGAAAAATGATACTCAATCTTGTCAATGGGTTTATTGTATAGGTTACTTCGAAGACAAAATATGTCTGTAGATAAAATTTAAATTATAATTTTGGACCTTTTTCGCAAAATCATTATACTGTAGTCTTGTATACAAAGGCTCAAATGTTCAAATAACATATTGGTTCATTACTAAATCTCTATTTAGAAACTTACTAAATTTCTTTATCCAATCGTATATTAAGATTAGGTTTTGCTTATATATGTATATATATAAGCAAAACAAACATGTACAATAAAAAATCTCTTGTTAATAGATAGATATAGGTAGATAGACATACCTTATTTAATTTAACATTTTATCACAATATAATATAACTATAAACTGAAGGACTAGCTTAACGATATTACAAATTAACAATTAACTTAGATTAGACAATTAAATTAGATCTCTATATATATATATATATATATATATATATTTATATATATATATACGTATAATTATATATATATATATATATATATATATATTATATATATATATAAATTAGTAGTTTTAATACAAAATCATAAGGTTAATAATATGATTTTTGTTGTTATTACTCTTCAAAATTGCATAAACTTAAAATAGGTAAATAATTAATAAATTACTCATTCCATTAGTATTATTAAAGCTATTTCATATCAATCACGAATTGATAATACAGTTCTATAATCAATTTTGTCATTTTTCAGCACATGGAGGTGATAATATCATGGCGAGCACCTCACATCGAACCACAATATTGTCTAGTAGGACTCAATGGCAAATTTACTTATCGAACTTCATAAAGGTAAGAAAAATTTTGTTTATTCATTATCATTTTAGTCGATCGAATTCTGTTGACTCATAAAAAGAATATTGTACTTTAAAGATATTCAAATTTGCTTCGATAAAATGCAACAAAAATTCTGGTTATATAAAAATAAATATACTTAAATCAAAAATTTAAAGAGCCTGAAATAATATATATCATGAATAAATATCTAAATTAATGAAAGACATTTTAAACAAAAATACAATTTATTTACAATAAAAATATCTATAATATTGATACATTCCCTATGTTAGTAATATCACAATTAAACTTATAAACTAATGTTAATATAAATAAAGTTTCGATTTGAATTTTTGTATTTTGTTATCAAATAAATCAGTCTTGAGATTTTTGAGGAGAATTTAAGAGTAATTGCTGATGAAAACATTAGTGCAATTAATAATGAAAAAATAATTATTATAAATTCAATATTGCAACCATTCTGTTTTTGAAAATATTAAGATGAGTGCTCACAATTTTGATTCTAATTTTTTACAAATATTTCTCAAGGTTTGCTGGGACAGCTAGTATATATATATATATATATATATATATATATTACATAGTCAAGATGTATTTATTATTTTGAAATTAAATTTTGCAATCCAAATCTATTTTTTGTTAGTATGTTAGTCAAGTTATCAAAAAAAAAAACGTTTTAATATTAGGTTAGTAAAATGGGTGTTAATAACTTTGATATTAGCAAAAATAGTTTGTTAGTATCTAAATCTAATTGAGATAGTAAGATTAGTTTTGATTATAAAAATATAATTCTACTAAAAATTCTAAATTTAGTGCAGACGTTCCTAATTCAAATAATCTTTAAAGTTGATTTATCTTTGAAGTTGAAATTGCAACAATTTTGTGATGTGTATATAATGATGTATATTATATTGTTTTCCTATTTTTTTTTACTTGAGTTTGATAAATTGGAGTAAATTTCAACAGCGGTTTCCAATTTTTTTGCACCGCTCCCCTGCTCTAATAAAACAATTGTTGCGTTAATGCCTTAATTTTTTCAACAATTTAATTTGATAAATTATAATAATGTAAAAAGGCAGGTCTAGTCGTTTGGGTGACACGTAGCAGAGAGAACGATTCGAATGATCCAAAATGCATTTAATTCGTAGTGATGGAGATAAGTGGTGTGTTCAATAACAAAAACTTTATTATCATAATCCTTAAAATTCACTCCATTTACCATAATTTTAATATTACCCTAAATTGAATTACCTATCTGAGTCATTTCTGTCTATGCGCGTTGTGTCTTGTAAAATTTGGTCAATCTGTTAAGTTTGTTTCCATTATCTCTACATATAGTAAGGTGATGATTTGCAACCACATCCAGGAATGTGGCATTTAGCAGGGTCCATACAGGTTTCAGATTTCTGGTCGAAAACTTGGCCCCATGGACAGCTGAATTCGACAGCTTCCAAAACTGGTTTACCTTCATCATCTACGTCCAAAGATTCGAAGCACTTGTAATATCTGTAGGGAAAAAGATAAATGATAGTTTTAGTAAGAGGCAAGTAATTTCGGATAAATTGACAAGTACAATGGGTGTACCCCAAGGATCAATTTTAAGACCTCCCATATATAATAGGTTGTCAAATATCTCCTTTCCGCCTTTTTGTATTATAAACCAAGAGCAAAAAAGCGGAAGGGAGATATTTGACAACCTATTAATGATTTACCCCATTGTACAAATCTTTGTGATTTCATTCTTTTTGCGGATGATACCAGCGTTATCATCAAGGCCAAATTTCCTAATGAATTACAACATAAATTAAGCGTGGTTATGTCAGAAATAACGGAATGGTTTTGTGAAAATAATCTAGTCCTCAATAATGATGGTAGATATGACCCAAATCATATCTTTTTGTACTAAAAATCGTTTATCCAATAATATTACTTCTTTAACCATCAGCATATAATTTTTTGCAAGTATCAAAGTTTCTTGGTATCCATATTAATAATAATTTAAAGTGGTCTGATCATATTTCTTACTCTCTATCACCAACTTTATCTAGAACATGTTTCATGTTGCGCACCCTAAAACCCAAACTTGGTTTGAATTGCTTACTTTCAGTTTATTATAGCAACTTTTATTCTCACGTTTCATACGGCATACAATTCCGGGATTTTTCAAACGAACTAAATAAAATATTGAAGTTTCAGAAAAGAGCTATTTGAATAATTTTTTCCTTGCCCAGTAAAGCCTCCTGCAGACCCATATTTAAAAAACACAATATTCTAACTGTCCCATGCATTTTTCTACTGGTAACATTAACTTTCATCAAAAACAATTCGAAACTTTTTGATATGGCTTCGTCCTCAAATTACAACACTAGACACAAACTTATTAGAGCGCGTACATATAAATTAGCCAGCTCTTTCAATACGATCGACGGTCTAGGTCAGCTTTTCTCAAAACTTATTTCTTCCAACGCCCCCTTTGAAGATCAAAATTTTTGTAGCGCTCCCCTACCAAATTTTTTATACCTATATAATCTCTAAAAACTTTTTTTTTTTAAATTTTAATAATATAGTTATAGTGTGATATATACTAGTTCATGTAACCTTACATTCTAAATTAGAGAATTTTACTAGTGAGAACAAATAAAACGCTACTTAAAACAATGCATACATAAAAAAAATAGTTAGGGGCCTCTTATCGCCCCCAGGATATTACAATCGCCCAGCGGAAGGCGATATCGCCCACTTTGAGAAACTGGTCTAGGTATTCAGCTTATGAATAAACTTCCACTCAATATCCGAAACTTAGACAGCAAAAAATTTCATGCTTCCCTGGTTAAACTTTTTAAAGAATTAGCTTTTTATGACGTAACTGAATTTTCTCAAATTGATTTCAATAACTATATTCTTGCATAATCCTTATCCTTTCTGAAGGAAGTTTGTTATTTGTTATTTATTATTATTCTTTACCTGTCACAACGTTGCTCATCTGGCATGTATCCAACCTTGGTACATTTGGGTGCTGGTTTTGGAAGGCATTTTGTGTTGTAGTCACAGGCCTCTAATAACGGATTGAATCCACTGCCTTTTGGACATCTTTGAACTGTTAGGAGTAAAGTGCCATTGCGCAACTTGTTACAGGCGAAGTATCTGCGGAAATAAAAAATATACTAGTAATTGAGTCCAATATATCGAGAAGTTCATGCCTTAACTTGTTTGTTAAGGCTAAATACTAAGCTTACTTGTCGCATTCGCCTGTGATTCCAAAAGCGCCTTCTCTAGGGCACTGGAAGTCCGGTTGGGCAGTGTCCATGCACTCTGGAACATTTTCGGGGTAGTCGCAATAACCAGTTCTGGGATTGAATCTCAAGCAACGAGGACATTCGTAATCAGCAGTCTTGACCAAGACGCCACATTCGTTACGCACACATTGGTAATATCTAAAATTGCAAAAATCAAATTGGTTGTTAGCCAAGTGTGTTTGTTTGAATTTTTGGTTTTGGGTGCATTTTGTTATTTGTTTTTGATTGTTACAACATACTTGTGGCAGGATCCGACGTGTCTGAAGAATCCTTCGCTCTTGCACAATGGGTCGTCCTTCTGGAAGGCGCATTCTGGATAAGGAGTGCTACATTTCTTACAACCAGAATAAGTAGGATGTCCAGAATCTGTTGAATATAAAGACAAGATGAGTGATTTTATCTTCAATAACTCAATTTTTATTAAAGTACGTTCATACTAACCATCATTTTGAGGCAACTCTGTGGTAGTGTATGCACTAGATCCACTTCCAGAGCTAGTAGTGGTTTCAGAGTCAGAGGCTGTGGTTGTTTCAGAATCAGAGGCTGTGGTTGTTTCAGAGCCAGAGGCTGTGGTTGTTTCAGAATCAGAGGCTGTGGATGTTTCAGAGCCAGAGGCTGTGGTTGTTTCTTCAGAAGAGTCGGGGGCTGCTGTGGTTGTTTCAGAGTCAGAGGCTGTGGTTGTTTCAGAGTCGGAGGCTGTGGTTGTTTCTTCAGAAGAGTCGGGGGCTGCTGTGGTTGTTTCAGAGTCAGAGGCTGTGGTTGTTTCTTCTGAAGAGTCGGGGGCTGCTGTGGTTGTTTCAGAGTCAGAGGCTGTGGTTGTTTCTTCAGAAGAGTCGGGGGCTGCTGTGGTTGTTTCAGAGTCAGAGGCTGTGGTTGTTTCTTCAGAAGAGTCGGGGGCTGCTGTGGTTGTTTCAGAGTCAGAGGCTGTGGTTGTTTCTTCAGAAGAGTCGGGGGCTGCTGTGGTTGTTTCAGAGTCAGAGGCTGTGGTTGTTTCTTCTGAAGAGTCAGGTGCTGCTGTGGTTGTTTCAGAGTCAGAGGCTGTGGTTGTTTCTTCTGAAGAGTCAGGTGCTGCTGTGGTTGTTTCACTTCCAGAGCTAGTTGTGGAATCAGAAGAGCTGGTTGTTTCTTCTGAAGAGTCAGGTGCTGCTGTGGTTGTTTCACTTCCAGAGCTAGTTGTGGAATCAGAAGAGCTGGTTGTTTCTTCAGAAGAGTCAGGTGCTGCTGTGGTTGTTTCAGAGTCAGAGGCTGTGGTTGTTTCTTCTGAAGAGTCAGGTGCTGCTGTGGTTGTTTCACTTCCAGAGCTAGTTGTGGAATCAGAAGAGCTGGTTGTTTCTTCTGAAGAGTCAGGTGCTGCTGTGGTTGTTTCACTTCCAGAGCTAGTTGTGGAATCAGAAGAGCTGGTTGTTTCTTCAGAAGAGTCTGGGGCTGCTGTGGTTGTTTCACTTCCAGAGCTAGTTGTGGAATCAGAAGAGCTGGTTGTTTCTTCAGAAGAGTCAGGTGCTGCTGTGGTTGTTTCAGAGTCAGAGGCTGTGGTTGTTTCTTCTGAAGAGTCAGGTGCTGCTGTGGTTGTTTCAGAGTCAGAGGCTGTGGTTGTTTCAGAGTCGGAGGCTGTGGTTGTTTCTTCAGAAGAGTCGGGGGCTGCTGTGGTTGTTTCAGAGTCAGAGGCTGTGGTTGTTTCAGAGTCGGAGGCTGTGGTTGTTTCAGAGTCAGAGGCTGTGGTTGTTTCAGAGTCAGAGGCTGTGGTTGTTTCTTCAGAAGAGTCGGGGGCTGCTGTGGTTGTTTCAGAGTCAGAGGCTGTGGTTGTTTCTTCCGAAGAGTCGGGGCTGCTGTGGTTGTTTCAGAATCCGAGGCTGTGGTTGTTTCTTCAGAAGAGTCTGGGGCTGCTGTGGTTGTTTCAGAGTCAGAGGCTGTGGTTGTTTCTTCCGAAGAGTCGGGGGCTGCTGTGGTTGTTTCAGAGTCAGAGGCTGTGGTTGTTTCTTCAGAAGAGTCTGGGGCTGCTGTGGTTGTTTCAGAGTCAGAGGCTGTGGTTGTTTCTTCCGAAGAGTCGGGGGCTGCTGTGGTTGTTTCAGAGTCAGAGGCTGTGGTTGTTTCTTCAGAAGAGTCGGGAGCTGCTGTGGTTGTTTCAGAATCAGAGGCTGTGGTTGTTTCTTCCGAAGAGTCGGGGGCTGCTGTGGTTGTTTCAGAATCAGAGGCTGTGGTTGTTTCTTCAGAAGAGTCTGGGGCTGCTGTGGTTGTTTCAGAGTCAGAGGCTGTGGTTGTTTCTTCCGAAGAGTCGGGGGCTGCTGTGGTTGTTTCAGAGTCAGAGGCTGTGGTTGTTTCTTCAGAAGAGTCTGGGGCTGCTGTGGTTGTTTCAGAGTCAGAGGCTGTGGTTGTTTCTTCAGAAGAGTCGGGAGCTGCTGTGGTTGTTTCAGAATCAGAGGCTGTGGTTGTTTCTTCCGAAGAGTCGGGGGCTGCTGTGGTTGTTTCAGAGTCAGAGGCTGTGGTTGTTTCTTCAGAAGAGTCTGGGGCTGCTGTGGTTGTTTCAGAGTCAGAGGCTGTGGTTGTTTCTTCCGAAGAGTCGGGGGCTGCTGTGGTTGTTTCACTTCCAGAGCTAGTTGTGGAATCAGAAGAACTGGTTGTTTCCTCTGAAGAGTCAGGTGCTGCTGTGGTTGTTTCACTTCCAGAGCTAGTTGTGGAATCTGAAGAGCTGGTTGTTTCTTCTGAAGAGTCAGGGGCTGCTGTGGTTGTTTCACTTCCAGAGCTAGTTGTGGAATCTGAAGAGCTGGTTGTTTCTTCTGAAGAGTCAGGGGCTGCTGTGGTTGTTTCACTTCCAGAGCTAGTTGTGGAATCAGAAGAGCTGGTTGTTTCTTCTGAAGAGTCAGGGGCTGCTGTGGTTGTTTCACTTCCTGAGCTAGTTGTGGAATCAGAAGAGCTGGTAGTTTCTTCAGAAGAGTCTGGGGCTGCTGTGGTTGTTTCACCTCCAGAGCTAGTTGTGGAATCAGAAGAGCTGGTTGTTTCTTCTGAAGAGTCAGGGGCTGCTGTGGTTGTTTCACTTCCAGAGCTAGTTGTGGAATCAGAAGAGCTGGTTGTTTCTTCTGAAGAGTCAGGGGCTGCTGTGGTTGTTTCACTTCCAGAGCTAGTTGTGGAATCTGAAGAGCTGGTTGTTTCTTCTGAAGAGTCAGGGGCTGCTGTGGTTGTTTCACTTCCAGAGCTAGTTGTGGAATCTGAAGAGCTGGTTGTTTCTTCTGAAGAGTCAGGGGCTGCTGTGGTTGTTTCACTTCCAGAGCTAGTTGTGGAATCAGAAGAGCTGGTTGTTTCTTCTGAAGAGTCAGGGGCTGCTGTGGTTGTTTCACTTCCAGAGCTAGTTGTGGAATCAGAAGAACTGGTTGTTTCTTCTGACGAGTCAGGGGCTGCTGTGGTTGTTTCACTTCCAGAGCTAGTTGTGGAATCAGAAGAGCTGGTTGTTTCTTCTGAAGAGTCAGGGGCTGCTGTGGTTGTTTCACTTCCAGAGCTAGTTGTGGAATCTGAAGAGCTGGTTGTTTCTTCTGAAGAGTCAGGGGCTGCTGTGGTTGTTTCACTTCCAGAGCTAGTTGTGGAATCAGAAGAGCTGGTTGTTTCTTCTGAAGAGTCAGGGGCTGCTGTGGTTGTTTCACTTCCTGAGCTAGTTGTGGAATCAGAAGAACTGGTAGTTTCTTCAGAAGAGTCTGGGGCTGCTGTGGTTGTTTCACTTCCAGAGCTAGTTGTGGAATCAGAAGAACTAGTAGTTTCTTCAGAAGAATCAGGGGCTGCTGTGGTCGTTTCACTTCCAGAGCTAGTTGTGGAATCAGACGATGTGGTTGTTTCTTCAGAAGAGTCAGGTGCTGCTGTGGTTGTTTCACTTCCAGAGCTAGTTGTGGAATCTGAAGAGCTGGTTGTTTCTTCTGAAGAGTCAGGTGCTGCTGTGGTTGTTTCACTTCCAGAGCTAGTTGTGGAATCAGAAGAGCTGGTAGTTTCTTCAGAAGAGTCAGGTGCTGCTGTGGTTGTTTCACTTCCAGAGCTAGTTGTGGAATCAGAAGAGCTGGTTGTTTCTTCTGAAGAGTCAGGTGCTGCTGTGGTTGTTTCACTTCCAGAGCTAGTTGTGGAATCAGAAGAGCTGGTAGTTTCTTCAGAAGAGTCAGGTGCTGCTGTGGTTGTTTCACTTCCAGAGCTAGTTGTAGAATCAGAAGAGCTGGTAGTTTCTTCAGAAGAGTCCGGGGCTGCTGTGGTTGTTTCACTTCCAGAGCTGGTTGTTCCTTCTGAAGAGTCTGGGGCTGCTGTGGTCGTTTCACTTTCAGAGCTAGTTGTGGAATCAGAAGAACTGGTAGTTTCTTCTGAAGAGTCGGGTGCTGTGGTTGTTTCAGAGTCAGAGTCAGATTCTGTTGGAGATTGAGTAGTTACTGTTGGCATAGGCATAGTGATAGTTGTTTCGTCGCCGTAGCCTGGAGCAATCGAAGAATCACTCTGGCCTTCCTGCTCAACTGGAATTTGATTGATGCAGACGCAGGACAAGCGCGACTCGTCGAAGTACGTATTGGGAGGGCACACGAAACGTGTCTGATAGCGTTTTCCGTTGATTGGAGCACTGCACGAATAGTACAAGGATCGGTTTCTTGGGACGGCGAATACCTATTTTAATTGGAATTGTAATAATTTAATAAATCTTGCGAAACATATATGTTTATGTAATTATAATAACATACCCCTGATTCTCTGCACGGCGGGTAAGGATCTGAGAATAGATACCAGTTATTATCTCTAACTGGTGCTGGTGCCCATGCGGAATCAGTACATTGTCCTTTCTGTTGATCGAATCCAGTCCATTCTGGGCAAGCCAGGATTGTCATGTAAAATTTGCCTTCATGTTTCACGCATTCTTTGTAGTAATCGGTTCTAAAAGAAAAAATAGATAACATATATATATAAATTGATATAATGGGTTTCATAAAATTTTAGATGTTCTGTAAAATTTGAAGAATTATTATAGTTATCATTTACCTTCCAGGTATGCTAAATTTGCCTTTAGCAGTACAATCGGGAGCATAGGCGGTACCACCAGATTCATCATAAACTAGGACACTGCACGTTGCCCTCACATCTTCCACGCAACGTCCTGGAAAAAATTAAAGGTTAGTGAGTTCAATTTTTATTATAACTCAGCTTTTATCAGTGGTAAATTTGGTGTATCCTGGTTCAAACATGTAAGAGAATTATATAACTTCTGTACTAAAATTTCCTGCACAATTCTCTAACACGTAATAACGTACCACTTGAGTACAACTTTCTAACGAACCTCATACTTACCATATGGTAATAATGGTTTTTTGAGAGTCTGGGGCTTCTTACATACAGGGTTGTGTTGGTTTACTGAATTAAAACCTCATACTCACCATATGGTAATAATGGTTGGGCGATACTGGGCTCAACTGGCCTTTTGTAAATTTTTACCATTTTGGGTTTCCTAAGAATCGGTCGCATTGTTCGTTTTGGTGACAACATTGGCATACATGGTTGTGTTGGTTTATTGAATTGTTGTGGCGGTGATTGTTTTATCAGGCCTGGATTTGAGGATGGAAAAAAGTTTCGTGTTTGGACATAGAAATGGAGAATGGAATTGAATACTTCGTTATTGTCAATTTTGGAATGACATTTTTATCGCGTTTTTCTTTTAATATTTTCCCGTATTACCAAATGTTTTAATGTCATATTTCGGGCTTGGCCAGAACTTGAGGTAATTAAAAAATTAAATTCAAAAGACAATTATATACCAACCTTTCTTGGCGTCAAACACTTCAGTTCCGGGACATTGCATGACAGCAACTCCGGCGTTTCCGGGGGCACAATAGTAGTAGTAATTGGGCGAATAGTCGTGAGGTCTTAGCCCAGATTGGCCGCCCTGGCAACGTCCTTTAGGGTCGAAGTAGATAATTTTACCATTTCCTGGTACGGCGGAGCAGACGCTGTCGGAGTTAGCCTAAATTGGAAAGAAACTTTTTGAATATTTTGGATATTACATCGAAAGATTGGATTTTTGTCAGAAGTATGTCTTACCTTGCTCGAATCATAGTAAGTGTTATTTGGGCACTTTTTGGGGTACAATCTTAAAATTCCGTAGTCGTCGTATTCGCATCTGCTGTACGAATTCCAACTTTCACCAGCTGTTGTTGATTTTTCAGAAGAACATGCAGGATAATAAGTGTCCTAGATGAAAATTGAGAATGTTGATATTGGACATATATTTGATTTTAATTTTCTTATCTAAAGTTAATGGGTACACAAATAGTCATAACTATGCAGTAAAAAAATAAACTTTCTATATATAGTTAGTGGCCTAAAAATATATATTTTGCCTATTAGCAAGTTACATAAGCATATATATGTTATATTGAAAATAAAGTTCTCAAGGGGGTTGTTCGTTTTTTTGTTCCTGCAAGGTATTTGTTTCTGTTTTTCTCGAAATGTATTTATCATAGAGACACGCGGTTTTTTAAACAAAATTTACAAAATCATAGAATATTTCGAAATTTTCTTCTTTTTTCTAAATACACCATGGTGTTCAAAGATGCTGACACATTAAAAAGGTATTATAATGAAAAAGAGAGCAGCTGGCATACAATAGCTCGCGGAGCAATGAAAAAAACGCTCTCAGAGGATCATACATATAGAGATATTTATATCTATAACTTCGTCAAAAAATAGATATTAAGATGATTTTTTTTTTAAAATAATTCCAAGGTTTTTAGCTTTCTATCAAAAAATCTCAAAATCGAAAACAAATAAATAAAAGCCGAACAACCCCCTTAAATAATTATAAAACGAAGTGGATGGTGCATTACAACATCAACAAAAAGTAATAATTAAAAAGTAATGAAAGTGAAAGAATTTTACTAATGTTTGCTTATTTACATTACATTTTTATGCAAAAAAATAAGTTTGAAAGTTCATAAATAAAATATTTTTTGTATTTATTACATACATGTGTTTGCATGCAATTTAGCATTGAATTAGGTAACATTGAACCCGACGGAAATTATGCGTAAACAATTTATTTACATGTTATTTAATTAAACAAACAAGCATTTTAAATATATATATATATATATATATATATATATATATATGTATATATTTGCTTATGCAGAAATTATGAGAAATGCTGTATCGCTTTTTTATAGATAATATTGTTTGAATAAGTAATTCTAATAAAATTCGTGACGATTCGAATTTTATTCTATCAACTATTAAACAATTATAAAAGATAACTTAAATTGTTATATACATTAGCACCATTAATGTAATTAGAAAGGAGGGACTATATTTTAAATACTATTTTATCTATTATTCTAATATTATATTTCAAACTAGGGAACAGGCGTAATATGCGGGAAATCGTGTTAACAAAATATTAATCAAATCCATCAATTTATTTGAAACTTTTAGTACCTCGTTGTTCTTTATTATAGCCTTAGTTTATGAATCAAAAAATTTTAATTAATTTTTCAACAATAATATCGTAATAATACTTATAGGTTTTTTTTAAAAAAGGAACCCAAAAAAATTGTTGCATCTGGAAATCTAAGAAATAGACTTTTCCCGGAAATTTCTAATAAAATTATTAAAAAATCGATAAAAAAGTCAATAATGTAATGAAAATGATATTTGCTTGTTAGTAGAGTTCTTTCTTAAAATTAATATTTTTATTGCATTATATAAATTTTTGGTTTAATTTGGAAATTATTAAAAATGAAATACCTTTACTATTTTTTTATACTAATTAAAAAATAATCTAGAAAATTGATTGTTTAGAATTTTTCTTTATATTACTATAGAAAATGATTCGTAAGGTGTTGAGAAAAAGAACTCTACCAACAACCGAAATGAGTATTGGTTTTAATGAAGAACTTTTTGCATTGAGAAATTTTAAGAAAAACTTTGCCTGAAAATTTAATAAAATAAAAATGAAAATTGCAGATGCAACAAGTTCTTTGTCAAAAGCAACACAATTTTTGAAAAATAATAATTATTATAATAATATAAAATCAAATCAAAAAAGGAATTATAAGGTTAAAAAATAGCTGTATATAACTTTACTAGGCGCAAAGGGAGCGTCCATTTATCAAGTGATCGATTTTTTAGGGATCTTTCCTGAAAAAATTGCTATTTTTTAATTTTGTTTTTGAAAATTTTTTGAATGACTCAAAAACTATTTAAGATATCGATTTAAAATTTTAGTATGTTATTTTTAAAGGTATAACCTATCGAAATATGAAAAACTTGAAAACTCGATTTTTTGAAAATTTCACACTAGTTGTGCCCCTTAAAAGCCTCACAAAATTATGGAGCCCAAATTTATATTGAAAGGGAAACCGGTTTGGACTCATTTGGAACGAAATCTAGATTAAACAGGAAACTGGATTGGACTCATTTTGAGTGATTGAAGACTGGGCGCAAATCTGTATTGAAAGGGAAACTGATTTTTTTTATTTATATATATATATATATATACATTATTTTCTTCAGACAGAGGTGCCTGGTATGAGAGATTATGAAAAACAGTTTTCATATTTTATATATACGGAATTGGGCTTCTTTGGAGTTACTGAAAAGAAATCTACTAGGTGCATATCTATTCATTTGGAGTAATTCTACTAGATGCAAATTTATATTAGAAGGGTAACTGAATTGCACCCATTTGGAAATGGAAAAACTCGAACAACCTACACTGGAGACAATTTCACTTTATTTGGAAAAAAAATTGCGATGGAGGAAACAGGACTAAAACCGAAAATTCTGCGATCAAGGGTGTGACTTCATACCATGAACCTGCCTTTCGACATACAAAATTTTTAAATATTAAATTAATTAACAGTACTCACATCTGTGTAATCTGGAATGACCCCCGAATTGGCCCTCGAGATGATCGCGCAAAGCGCAAGGGTTGTCACAAAGATCTTCATTTTCTAAAACACTTGTACACTTTTTACCACCAAGATCTTAAAGTTATTAAGATCTGGAGAATCCACTTGATATTTTTCCAATAATTTTTTCTTTTTTTTTTTTTTGAAGTGAACCCTTCCAGATCCACGTCGAAAGTGAGCGAAATTTTTTTCGTCGTCAATTTTACATATCGCCTTGTTATTATTAATATTATTGCCCTTGGTAAGAGTATACATGATAAAATTTTATATTAACATTATTCTTGTGTTATTTTCTTTGATTTGTTTAGAAGTGTAAACATTTTGTTTATTGTACGTGCGTTTCGTTCGATGAGACGACGGAGTGGTGTCCGCCGACATTGTCGATGTTGGAAAGTCGACATTGGAATTATTATCACTAACTAGTGGTGTTATATAGTATTTTACTTTGGGGCTTATTTTTCTTTGTTCTTTCATGTAGATGTTTTTTTTAGTCGAGAT